TGCTATATTGCCCCAAAAACACACAAAGCAGCACGCTGAAAGCACAATTGCTCTGTTGAATCGGAAGAGTTCAGAGCAGCTCAGAGTTCAATGATAAGGAGAACAAACACCCTGATTGCCTTATTGTGCCTCGCTAATGTGGAAACCATTAAAAATCCAGCAATGACAACAAAACCGAGCATGTCGTCATCCCATTTGTGACCAAAACACAGCAACAACAACAACAAAAAAAGATGTTTCCAATTTCATCCTAAAATACCAACATCAAAGCCAAAAACTGCTGCATCACCCTAAATATTAGGGCTGGGTTTTGACACAAATTTCACGATTCAATTCTCATTCACAAGCTCGCGATTTGATTCGATTACCAATTCGATTCGATGCGATTCAATATCGATTATTTTGGATATATATCAGGTAACGTTACGTAAGGGGAAAAAAAATCTCTCAACTAATGCTGTAAAATATACATGAGAGCCAGTTGGGACTAAATTACTATAATATTAATGTTAAAATTAATGACGTTTTTACAATAATAAAGTTACAGTTCCATAATATTTCTGCTTCAATTCGTTTTTTTGAAATATAAACATTTAAATGGTGGCTGTCATAAAAACTTGATGGATTTATTCAAACATAAATTAAACATTAAAGAACAGTAAAAATTTAAATGAATATGTTATGTGGTGCATATATTAAGCAAAATGCCCCTCTCCACAGTTTATTTTTCTATCTGACTAATGAGTTTATGGTCACCGAATATGTTTTTTCTGAGGTAAACGTTACGTCATGTGACATTGTTCAGAATTTGAAATCTGAGACTTTGTTTCATATTAAAAGCACCAAAACACAATGTTTATTGCGATTTATTGGGTGGGAAGTACCCTTCAACGTTCCGTCCATTAACTGAAAACAGGCTAGACTAATCGATTCTTGGGATTTAAGAATCGATATCGTTCTGTAAAAATGAGAATCGATTAATATCGAGATATCAATATTTTTTACCCAGCCCTACTAAATATCAGCAAACAAACACACACACACACACTCATAAAAAACACAAACATGCACATGTATAAAACATATATAAATATATATATGAATATATTAATATTTGCTCAAAGATGCAAAAAATATAATAAAAACACAAAATATTGCAAATGATATAAAATATATTTAAACAAATTATAATTATTAGATATTAAATGCAAAAATAAAATTGTACAAATCTTACAAATAAATTATAGATAGGCCTATTTATTATACAAGATATTTACAAAGTCCTGAATGATTGAATATGTTCACAGATGGAGTTCTCAGATGATCAGCAACATATTTTAAACATATTATTTATTCAAAAATACAAAACAAAATATAATAAAAAACAAATATTGTAATTAAATATTTCATTACATTTACTAACATTAAATGTAATAATAAGCATTCATAAACATTCATATTACTTTTTTTAAATTATATTATAAGTAAGATTAGCAATTAATTTAATAAGACATTAACAACATCCTAAATGACTGAAAATGTCTACAGATGGAGACCTCTCTCGGATTATTAATATTAGTTCAAAAATACAAACAAATAAAATAGTAAAATATTCCAAAAATATTGTAAATTAAAGATTTCATTAAATTTACTATTAATATTAGATACTACATTAAAAAAAATACACACACTCAGACACAATCTGAGCATGTCCAGGTTTGCCGTCCATTCATTCATACAGCAGCATCTTCCAGAAACCTCCTGCAAGCGTCCTGTGTTAGATCAGCGAAGGGAAGAGGAAATATAAAACTTGTAGCAAATCACACGATTCCACCCCCAGTCTTTACACAACAGCAGCAGATATGAAATTATGCAATTAAAGCTGCAGTTAAACTAAGCCGCCGCCGCAATCTTAAACCAGCATTTTTCACTCAGACTGAGGAACTCCTTAGCAGCAAGAAACCAGAGGCTCTTTACTTCACTCCCTCCCTCGGTGAAAGACGAGGAATTACAAACACACGTGTGTCTGTGTCGGGTCCTAATCACATAATGAACATGGCATAGATCAGCCCAGGCCTTACACTAGAAATAACACACAGAGCTGGCATCAGGAAGCCAACGATCACTGGCCGTTCGTCTTCAGACTCCTGGAGGATTCCTGGATAGTGAGTGAAGCAGGACTAAGAGGAAAAAGGGCATAATGGTAACAGTCAGATGCATGTGGTGCTGATCTGATTAGGCAGACTAACACAAAGGAAAGCGGTAGTTGACATATACTGTGTGATCTATGAGTAACAAGCTGATTCCTGTGTGCAGATTATGCATTTCTACTGGAATTCAGCGAAACGGAGATCGGTTTACAGTGGCTCAAAGATGCTTGGACGCTTTCGAAGTTCTGAATGTCATTGTATTAGAACATTTTTCCCATTATTAAAATAAATGGTTCACCCTCTGGCCATCCAAGATGTAGATGAGTTTGTTTCTTCATCAGATTTGGAGAAATGTAGCATTACATCACTTGCTCACCAATGGATCCTCAGCAGTGAATGGGTGCCGTCAGAATGAGAGTCCAAACAGCTGATAAAAACATCACAATAATCCACAAGTAACTCCAGTCCATCAATTAATGTCTTGTGAAGCCAAAAGCTGTGTGTTTGTAAGAAACAAATCCATCATTAAGACGTTTTAACTCCAAACTGTTGCTTCTGGCTAAAATACAAGTCCTCTATCCATAATATAACAATCCAAAAAGTCGTCTCGTCTGAATCAGGAGAGAAATCTGCACAGATCAAGCACTGTTTACAAGCCAAAGCAGCTCTAAATAAATATGTGGCTGGATTTTGATGTGAGAGGCAACAGGAGATGGACTTTCTCACTGAAGGAAGCGTTATTATGGATTATAGACTTTATAGACTAGAGTATTTTAGCTGGAAGCAATGGTTTGAAGTTAAAGCATCTTAATGATGGATTTTCTTTTTCTTAAAAACACGCAGCTTTTCACTTCCATTAATTGATGGACTGGAGTTACTTGTGGATTATTGTGATGTTTTTATCAGCTGTTTGGACTCTCATTCTGACGGCACCCATTCACATCCATTGGTGAACAAGTGATGTGATGCTAAATTTCTCCAAATCTGATGAAAAAACAAACTCATCTACAGATTGGATGACCGGAGGATGAAAAAAAAAATCAGCACATTTGAATTTTGGTTGAACAATTGCTCTAATGCAGAAACTGCAATTAACTAAAAAAAAAAAAAGGGGCAATACATTTGTTACAATATTTATTTATCTTTGTAAATCAGCTGTCCATTCTTAGTTCACGTTAGCCTAAATAATATTAACAAATACTACTTCTGATTTGTTTTTAATCTTTTTCTTCGTTTAACTAACTAATGTTAAAACATAGAACCTTATTATAAAAAGTTACGAAAATATCACTTTTCTCAGAACTAACTTCGCTTTACTGAGCCATATCTGTAATGTCTTTCAATCGCCTTGGTCATTTTTAGTGGATGTATGAAGTTTTCCTCAAGTTCAACCACAAAGAGTCAAAAGTTTTTCGTCTTCATTTTTTAGTTTATCTGTTATTTCATTGTTTTAAAATGTTTTGTTTAAAGGAGTGCTTGTGCAAACTCTAAAATGTGACCCTGGAGCACAAAACCAATCTTAAGTCGCTGGGGTATATTTGTAGCAATAGCCAGATTTTCAAATAGTTGTATCTCGGCCAAATATTGTCCGATCCTAACAAACCATAAATCAATGGAAAGCTATTTATTCAGCTTTCAGATTATGTATAAATCTCAATTTTAAAAAAAAATGACCCTTATGACTGGTTTTGTGGTCCAGGGTCACATATAAACGCAATTCATAACAACGCATAAAGTGCAATTCATACATTTTAATGTGGCTAAAGTGACTAAATGCTTGTTACTGAACTGAAAAGATCAATGAATTGAACTAATAAATGCAATGAAAGGCTCTGCCTTCACTATGATCTTACTGCATAATCAGAAAACATACAATCTCACGTTCCCATTAATAGCAGAACGTCAAACGCCACTGATCAAACCACCCCGGTCCAATTTTTAAGCAATCAGACCACATATAAAATCCAACCAATCATCCTTTTGTCAGCTCCTATCTAAGAGGAACAGACAGTCAACTCAAAAATCAGCACAATCATCTTCCTGAAAACATGCACTAGCATCTTCTGGTGGAGAGGTTGTAGGAAATCACTGCTATTGTAATATTCGGAGATGGCAGATGGGCCGAAACAGCAATAAAGTGTTGCATCACTTGCTCCTCGCAGAGATTTGGTGGTTCCTACTGCCACCCCGACACATGCTCACTTCACATTTACAAAACACCTACTGTTTATATGCAATATTGCACAAAAACATTTTTTTAATTATATATATATAAACAAATAAATAGAAATATTACATATTTACTATTAAATTATAAATAAAATATATATATATTTTTTTTTAATACTAGCTACATTTGCAAATAGTTCAAAATCACAAATATGTCATATAACTATATCTGGATTCTATTTTTAAAAATCGTCCAAACCAAAAAGTGTGGCAGTAATTTGTGACCTGATCAGATACTGGCATCATACACCTGTAACCACAAGCTAATGGCAAGCTGAAGGTGTGACCCTGTCTGCAGCTAATTCTTAGAAAAGTTCAAGCTCTCACAGGTAGCCTAGTTCTTCTCATTTCTGAATAAATGCATCAGCGCATGATTCAAAACTCGAGCGGACAAGTTCATAAGCGCGCATTCAGACCCAGCGCTGCAAGCAACACACCCGAGCTGAAGAAGGTTGCAGAGGCAATTTGTTACTGAACACCGAAACAAATCAATGCCACATGCATCCAACAGCATAACGTAACACAACGCACAATATCAGCCTCCGGACTCAGGCTGCTCTCTTCTGATGGAGATTAGTATAACGCAATGCATGTACAGCTGAAATGCCTGAAAGCACAAACCTGTCTGTCCTTTCCCGAGGGTCTTTTCTAAGCGGTACGGTCCCACGTAATTGGCATGAGGGGTAGTGTTGTTTTCTTTCCCAGACAATGACATTTTCCCTGTCTAAACACACTTCAGGCGGCGTTGCAGTTCTTGGGATACAGCAATCCTCTTATAGCTGCGCTGCACCGGAGGACGCGCTTTACTCCAACTGAACGATGTCTGCTTTTGTTTCTCCTGCCCGTTTGGGACCGAGAGTCTGTGGTTGAGGTGGGAACAGGGCTCTGTTGACCTTTCCTTCTCACGAGGTGAACCGGGCGGCTTAAGATCCGACTGGCATTGCGGAGACCTGCACAGCTTGTGTCCGCCAGTGGCCGGTCTGCGAATCCGCCGACGCTACCACGGCGAAGGCGTGCTAATTAATATTCATGAGCCGAGCCGAGCCATTGGGTAGTCAGCCAGCGACGTCAGCGTGATTAAATTAATATTAAAAAGCCAGGTTTTTTTAAGACTAAGAAACTAAAAGAGGAACAGTTTTTTTTAAATGATTAATCGTTAATTACATGAGGAATTCTGTATGTCAAAAAAATAAATGTGAATAATGCTATATAAATGATAATTGCAGTTGGGCTAATGTGTTTTACACAAAATATGTGACCCTGGAGCACAAAATTCCAGATTTTCAAATAGTTGTATCTCGGCCAAATATTGTCCTATAAACTATACATCAATGGAAAGCTTATTTATTCATAAATATATAAATCTCAATTGGGTCACATATTTTTTTCACAATTTAGTTTTTTTACTAATAAATTGTTTGAATATTTAATGTATGTATTGATTTCATCAGCATTTATGTATTGTCATGGTTTACATTTGACAAGTTGCTTTAATGTACATGAAATCTACTAAAGAAGCCAAGCCTTTGCCATTGGACGATGGGCGCGTGACGTCAGCAAGCCCTAATGCATATTAATGAGACGCGCCTTTGTCGTAGTAGGGGTGGTAATTTGGCGCGTGATCCGCAGCGCTTAATTTTGATTGACGGAGAAGCTCGCCAAGCAGCGCGAGCGTCTGTGTGCCGCAACCTCAGTCAGTCAACAACACCTGATGAGCTCTGACCGCTGATTGTTCTCTGACAGCAATGAAACGACTGTAAAATCATCAAGATTATTTTTATACAAATTTATATAATTGCATATTTTATTTTTTATTTCATTGATGTTAGACCAAATATCTGTAAAACATTTTAAGAATGAAATAAATGAGGAATTATGTATGTTAAATAAACAAACAAATACATGCATAAACAAATAAATAAACAAACAAACACATTTTACAAAATGTAATGTGGATCTGCTCCTCGGGTCCATTCTGCTTCTTATAAGATAACACAAGTATGTTCCTACACTGAGTAACATAAACTTACCTTGTGAACTTACTAACTTACTTATCAACCCACCAATCAGATCTTAGGGTTTGTTCTTAAAGGAATAGTTCACAATAAAAAGAAAGTCTGTTATTTACTCATCCTATTTTAGTATTATTTAAATATTTTAGGAATTTTTCAGCTTAATTTTCGTTTTCAGTTTTAGTAACATTGTTGTGTTTGTCACTTTTATATTTCTACACTCTTAAAAATAAAGTTGCTTAAAAGGTTCTTCACAGCGACGCCATAGAAGAACCATTTTTGGTTCCACAAAGAACCATTCAGTCAAAGGTTCTTTAAAGAACCATCTCTTTCTTACCTTTTTATAATCTGAAGAACCTTCTTTCGCCACAAAAAAAAACAACCTTGTGTGAAACAGAAAGGTTCTTCGGATGTTAAAGGTTCTTTATGGAACCATTTAGACAAAAAGGTTCTTCTATGGCATCGTGAAGCACCTTTATTTGTAAGAGTGTAAATAGCTTTGATTTACTTCAGTTTAGAAATGTATTCGGTTTGGAATTCAAAAAAAGATTTACTTAGATGATTCCAGTAATGGTTATGTTTAGGGGTGGACCTTCATAGTTTCTAAAAAATCGTATGATTTGCGTCATATGAAATTGACACCTCGTTAAATAGTTACATCTTCTATGAAATCAGGTTGGAACTCAGAAGTTTCTGTCTGTATTATTAAACTCAATGTGGTCCAAAACTTTCAAGCTTCAAAAAAAAACAAAAAAACATTAAGGTGTCTGTATAATTTCTATAACTGAATTGTATAACATTTCCTATTGTCATGTAAGTTTTTCAAAGCTTTCATCTAATATTTATATTTTACTTAACCTTTATTTATTTCAGCTTTATTTTGATGATTTTTCATAGTTTTAATTTTAGTTCACAATAACAACACCCATCCTCCTACCAAACCTCGGATTCCTCAGTTCTCGGCCGGAGGACCAGAGTGCCGACCCCAGATAAGACTGTGTTCTATGCTTCCATTTATCCCTACGTTTGACTCTTCTGTTCGAAGCTCCTCCTCAGTTCCTATTAATAAACTCTCTGCCTTACGTTAACCTGTTTGTTTGCCTCTTTGTCCCGGATGTGACACATATATTTACAAAATCGTATGTTTTTTTTTTTTCTACTTCTGCAGAACTCAACACAACACAGTCTCATAGAAATATGAAACTATTATACGTTTCCGCGAATTGCTGGCTCATTCGTATGATTTTGTACATTTGTATCTTATTTGTAAGTTTTCGTCCGATCTGCTGGTTATGTTTAGGGATGGACCTTCATGTTTACTTTTTTCTAAAAATTGCATGTTTTCGTCCAGAATCACATCATATATAATCACCACCTCATCAAACAGTTATGTTTCTCTGTGAGATCAAGTTGGAACTCAGAAAATATTTTGTCGAATATTTCTCTTAAAAATAAAGGTGCTTAAAAGGTTCTTCACAGCGATGCCATAGAAGAACCATTTTTGGTTCCACAAAGAACCATTCAGTCAAATTCTTTAAAGAACCATCTCTTTCTTACCTTTTTGTTATCTGAAGAACCTTCTTTCACCACAAAGAACCTTTTGTGAAACAGAAAGGTTCTTCAGGTGTTAAAGGTTCTTTATGGAACCATTTAGACAAAAAGGTTCTTCTATGGCATCGTGGAGCACCTTTATTTTTAAGAGTGTAGAAGAAAATAATAAAAATCACATTATGAAATAGACTGGTCATTCCAGACACTTGTTCACCACTAGTGTGTTGCATAGTAAAATAATGAAACTTTGTGATTTAGTAACCATTGTATAATTAAAGCATCAAGCTAAATAAAAGAATAATATTAAGGATTGAAGTTGTAGGTACTCCTCTAATAATGTTTGACAGCGCCCTTTTGTACAGGCTATGCTTAATCTGATGCGGCTACCCTGTTGAAAAAAACAGCATATGCTGGTTAGGTATGTTTTGAAGCTGGGATGCTGGTTTGAGCTGGTTTAAGCTGGTCCTTTGCTGGTTTATGCTGGTCCTTTGCTGGTTTATGCTGGTCCTTTGCTGGTTTATGCTGGTCCTTTGCTGGTTTATGCTGGTCCTTTGCTGGTTTATGCTGGTCCTTTGCTGGTTTATGCTGGTCCTTTGCTGGTTTAAGCTGGTCCTCGGACCAGCTTAAGACCAGCACATGACCAGCTAAGGACCAGCATAAACCAGCAAAGGACCAGCTTAAACCAGTTCAAACCAGCATCCCAGCTTCAAAACATACCTAACCAGCATATGCTGTTTTTTTCAACAGGGCTACAAGAAGCTGATCCAGAAACACATCCAGTGAAGCCTCAGAGTCACCAGCACCCGCCTCTCACCTCCCCATCCACAATAACAGCTCTCAGTGAGGATCTCCCTTTGAAGCATTGAGGAACATCTGTACACGTGGTGTCTAATCAAGGTTGCCAGCGAGTCCCTCGCTCCCCTGCATCACAACGACTGTGAAATTAATCAGGAGGCGCAGCGAGCGGCCGCACCATTTACTGTTTACATGCTGACGACCGCAAACCAAATAAACTCGGTAAATAGCGTCCTCTTTACCTTTGATCATTGCCCCGTCGTCCGTGAGTGAGCAACCGGGCGAGACGGGAATATTATACAGCTTTATGCTAATGAGATGCAGATGTACATATCAGATAGAAAGGGTGAATCCGGGGAAAGCGTTTGTAGATCTGAAGGGCAGGAAATTACTTAGCATGATGCTACATGGGAACGTCCGCTAAAGGTCTTACAGGTCTGTGCTAATCTGTCTCGCATTTCAGATGTTTATGATGATGAGATGAGACACCTGTTGTTTGTAATACAAACTAACTTCCAAACTTTGCTATCGCTTTCAGCTATGAGTGCTGTTTTGGAACTTCCAGCCATAAATTGCAGTTTATTCAAGACAGAAAACAAAAAAAAAAAAAAAACACTTGTTGATTTTTCTGATTCACCAGAATGAATTGGACTTTTCTACTCTACATATAAGAGAGAGAACCGTTTAGAACGAACCAATTCACTAAAATGAATCAGACTGTTAAACTCTTCATTGAAGTGCCCTTCTGCGTCATCATCACGTGCCCACACGGAGGCGCCGTCATCATGCAAAGAATCTGCGCAAAGGATCATGGGAGCCCGAAGTGTCCATCAGTTGTACCCTTCGAAATCCTTCATTCCGAAGGGCCCTTTGATGTGGCCAGTTTTGAGCACTTCGGTTTGGACCGACCCTTCAATATGGCAGCCATGATTGTTTTCACTCCAAAGTGCCCTTCGGAGGGCGATATATCCTGTTTGGAACGCACCGTAGGACTGTTTAGGACAAACTGATTCACTAGAATGAATCAGTTTCATCTCTATGTTTAAGAGAAGAACCGTTAGGATGAACAGATTCGGTAAAATGAATTGGACTTTCCAAATCTGCATATAAGAGAGAGAACTGTTTAGGATGAACCGATTCACTAAAATGAATCAGACTTTCCAGCTTTTACATGGGAGAATTCATCTTTTAAGATGAACTGATTCAATAGAATGAATCAGAATGTCCAACTCTAAAAATGACAGAAAGAACTGATTCACTAGAATGCATGAATCCAAGAGAACCATTTACAACGAACATTTACAATTCACTAAAATGCATGTCACTTTCATGATTCACACGAGAGAATATTTTTTTTAAGATGAACTGATTCAACAGAGTGAATCAACTCCATGCATGAGGGATTAAACGATTGGCACGAATGAACCAGACTTTCATCTCTACGTATGAGACAGAGAACCATTTAGGACGAACAGAATCAACAGAATGAAATGAACTTTCGAGGTCGGTATAAAATCGTCTGTATATAACCAACAACCGTTTAGAACAAATCGATTCACTACAATGAATCAGATGTTCCAACTCCACATATGAGAGGAACAATGTTTTAGGATGAACCAATTCAGTTGAATGAAT